TATCTGAAGGATATTGAAACCTATCTTTAAAAACGTTAGGAGAGCAAAGCAGGCATACATTTCAAATTGAGAACTGTTATGTCCACAATATCAAATGTTGTTGTCTGTATTCTAAATCTAACTCGTTATAGCACTAATGTCTTTAAAATAGTGTAGATATGCTCCTACAGTTTTTGCTTAGCTTCCAGTTAAAGTTTTTTGCCTGCTCTTTTGTAACTTACTAAATATATAATATTTTTGGTTCTGCTCTTAAGTACACTTCTTCCTTATTTTAGGTTGTTTATTTTTGTGGGACTTTTATATAACAATAACACAGATTTGAAAGATTATTTACTATTTAGCAAAACTAGTAATATGTAATAAAAAACATACCACTTATTGATTATAAACATATTCCACGTACATAATAAATGACAAACTGCTAACTTATGGATACTTATCCAACACATATTTGGTCCAAGGTATATGTCATTTATTTTTCTTCTCATTTGTTTTGAGATGTGGAATATGTTTGGCCAGGATAATAAAGCTAGGTACTCCTATCAAGGGTCTTCATTTCTTTTAAATACACACGCTATCATCTCTCCCACCAAATAAATATGAAATTAAATCCTATAGTTATTGTAAAAGACGAATACGACAATTAAAATGGTGTTTTAGTTTCCCCTTAGTTTCAGTCTGAAATAGACATGTGTTGCTCAAAATAATAACAGAGGATATTAATTATTATTATTTGTATTGCATGTAAATGGAAAATGTTGCTTTGAAATAAATGAAGTTTGAATGTTACCCCTCTACGTTATGACTGTCAGTTTCCGTACTACAGGTGACATGGGCAGGCTTGTTTCAGACAATACAGCCTAAGGTGATCATCAGCAATACTGTGACAGTGGGAAAAGCAACCAGCAATAGCATCCCTGATGAGACCACATATTCTAGTAAGAAAAGCAATCATACAATGTGGCGGTGATAAGCATGCAGTAGCAAAGACCACTTTTACTTTATTAATGTCAAAGCATGGATTCTCATCACCATATTTGCTGACATAATTGTCAAGGCTGTGCACACACAATAGGAAAAGATACAGCAATATAGAGACCGGGAGCCACGCTTGCATGGCAGCGAGTGGACATTTACGCTGCTACTGCCGACATCCAGTACTGAGGTTCCTCTATGTGGCTTCTACTAATGTGGGGACACAACAACATTTGCAATAGCGTCAATTGGATAACACTAAGGCGTTCATGCAGCTGGCATCGTCTTCATTTTGCCCAGCAGCAACACCATTTTAAAGGAGACCACAGGAGCATGGCGTGTCAGTGGCGGCCTGCTCTCCAATTGCAAGTGGAAGTTTGTACTGGAACTGGGGAACTGTACTGAAGCCAGAATACTCTTCACCTACTTCACATCTGACTTCCTAACTACCTTTTTAGAGCTTCCTCACTATTCCTTTAATACTTTTCCACACACCTACTGCTGACCTACTGCACTGCTACTGTTCTCTGCTGCCTTTCTAATGCCTCCTACTACTCCTCTACTACCCCTTTATTTCACCTCATTGCCTTTTTTGCCACTCCATACCTCTTCGTTATTCCCCCCTACTGCACCCCTGTTAACCCTCTAGCCACTCTAACACTGACATTCTACCCCTTTACTATACCTACACCACCCCTTAATGCTCCACTACTACCTCTTCACTAAATGACGCTGCACTCGCACACTTCTCTACTGAATGCTGCTGCACCACACACTTCTTCACTGAACATCAGATATCGGCACCATTTTGGGATGTCCCAAAGATGAACACTTCTGCACTCTAAGCCCCTGCACCAATGGGCACTCTGGCACTTTCTGCTATTGCTCCTGGTTTGCACTACTGCAGTCGCTGGCACTGCACCCAGTTGACACTCCTGCCATCACCTCTACTGCACCCGATGCAGACCCTTCCACTGCACCTGATGCACACACTTGCGTTTGCTGGCACTGCACCTGATATGTACTCTTGCACCAGATGCACACTCTTGCGCGTGCCACCACTGTCTCTGATGTGCTTTCTAGCAAATCTTGCCACTGCACTGCACCTAGTATATCTGCACACTGTGATTTGTCTGCAAAATATATATTTCACATTGATTTACCCTTCATGCTCTAAATTACAGAACTGTTTAAATATCTCTGCTAACAAATTTGCTTTTATATTTGGATTATACTGTCTTGTAAACTTGCAAATTGCTCTCAGAGTCTACTTGCTTTACTGAGTATAAGACTTATCACCTCTGTATATTTTAATGTCACACAGGGCCATTTTGAAGTATTTCAGTAATTTAAACAGATTACAGATTAACTCAGTTAACAGCTGTTAATGTTTTTTCTAAATCCAGAGTATGCACAAAACACATTCTTAAATTAAACATTAATCTTTCTGCAAAGTAATTTGTAAAACTGAATATACTGCATTCTTTCTTGTTGGATTGCGGGCTTGTGTATTGAATAACCGTGGTGTAGAATCAAGTGCTTTCTATAGTATTTACAGCATTGACTATTAGCATGCCATATTTTGTGCGCTGATATGTGTTGCGTTAAGGCAGCCTATTTACTTTGAATGGGTAGTCAAAACATAACGGATGAAAAACTGGAGCCGCAGCATTTTCTTATTGCAGCACACCACAATTCATTTTATGTACATTCTGGTGTACTTCAGCATGGATCCATTGGCACCTACTGTTCTGTGCACTTCTGAATGAATGACATTGTAACACACTGCACAAGTGTTGTGCATTACCATGTGTGAGTTTTACCATATATTACTGCAACTCAAAAGTCTGAAGGGGACCTAAGTTTAACAAACTAATTAATTAACTTTGTGCTGTAACTTCTATATTGAAGCTCTCAGATTAAAAATATGGCCCTTGCAAATTTGCTTTTATATTTATAAGCTCCAAGGTTTTCATCCTAATTCTGACTTTACTAGCTAGTGAATCACATATCTTAAGCAAGCATGCACCAAGTGAAGCTTGAAAATCCCTTACTCTTACCTTAAGCTGACCATACACCTATTGATTTTCTGCAGATTTTTCTATGGTCAGATGGAAAAAGTCATATTATTCCAAGAAAACACAGATAGTAGTGATGGGGTTTTAAGAGGCGTCAGACTTGCATTGCAAATTCATACAAATGTATTGTTGATAATCATAAAAACTACTACCTAAAAATTACATTAAAATCATAATAACATAATTAATTCCTCAATTCTTGCTTGATTAACACATTTGACAAAATATACATGATAAACAGTTATTCATATATGTTATCCAGCTTAACTTTGTGTATTCTTTCCATAAATATTGATACAGTGATCCATCCGTTTCCAACGCGTTTCGCACATATGCTTCTTTAGGAAAATTTGTAGCAAGAAACTAGTTATAACTATATACAATTCATTTTTAATAATACATTTACATAAATTCCATTATTTACATTTTGTTCATTGTGGCACACTCACAGAGTCTCATTCCCCTACTTACCCAAGGCCTAGGAATCAATTGCAAAACTATTTCCAAGATAGGAGGATGGGAGTCCACCGATCCATATTTAAACAGATTTTATACAAATGGAGGCAATTTAACACTATTGTTACCCTCCCCAGTTGTGGTCAACTAACAGAGGTCTCACCAAGAGCAAGTATGTAATACTTTGGGAGGTTGCTGCAAACGTAGATTAACATTTTAGAAGATAAAGGCGTTTCTTGCATTGGTGAATAGTGTTTATCATGAGTCTGCCATCAGGAGAACACTGAAAAACAGTTTTGTATATGGTAGGGTTGGAAGGAGAAAGCCAATACTATCTAAAAATAGGATCTCTGCTCATCTAAAGTTTGCTAAAGACCCTGAAGGGAATTTATCAAAACTGGAGCAAGCAAAATCAGGAGCAGCTGTGCATGGGAACTTCTATCTTTCAATGTCAATCTTAACTGAACAAACTGAAGAGAAAAGCTGATTGGTTGCCATGCACAGCTGCTCCAGATTCTGTCTGCTCCAGTTTTGATAATTTCCCCCCTTAAAGCAGAAGAACAATTATGTTTTGGAATGGCCCAGTTAAACTCCCGACCTTAATTTTATAGAAATGTTGTGAAAGGGCCTGAAGCGGACAATTCATATGAGGAAGCTGATCAACATCCCTGAGTTAAAGCTGTATGGAGGAATCGGCTAAAATCCATCCAAGCCACCATGCAGGACTGATCGAGAGTTACTTGAAATGTTTAGTTGCAGTTATTGCTGTCCAAGGGGGGCACATCAGTTACTGAAAACAAAGGATCACATTCTTTTACCACTCACAGATACAGTATGCACAGTAACCTTGATCACTTTCCTCAATAAATACAGTAAATGAGCAAGCATTTTTTTTGACTCCTTTGTTTAAAGGATGGGTTCTCATTAGCTAGTTATAGGCATGAAAAGGAGATAATGTTTTAGGTCATATTTATGCTGAAATATTGAAGAGTCTAAAGGGTGCACAAAGCACCACTATAACTGTTTCTGGAGGCAGTTTAGAAGCTGTCATTTTATTTTGTGTTTGTAGCAAAGTGTTTTTTGCAATCTATGCATGCGTGCAGTATACAATGTGTTTATCATATAAAATGATGGGGTTTGTATGATTTTGCTTGTACCAGAATGTGTTTTCTCTTACTACATATAATGCAGCACATTAATATTTTTAATCATAGACAATGTTGTAGATCAATGTAAATCAATGTCTGAATCGTAAGTATCTACACTTAGAACCACCAGCCCGATATATCTTATGAGAACTAGCCCAGGAGGGCAAATGCCTGCCAGCCCAGTCCTCCATACATGAGAGTTCCTTGCCTGTATGCTTATACTTGTAGTTTATCTGCAGTGCCTCCTCTGTTCCAAAACTCATGTAGAGTATGATATTTTTAAGTAGAAAAAAAGATGTTTGCTAATTGTAATTATCTTTTTCTTTTCTAGAAAGAACTGAACATGAAATTTAATGTAATGAACTGTTGATACACGGATGGACATAACTTTTACCTTGTGGAATGAGTAACAGCCATGCACCATTTGTTCCAGCTGGTATTAGAGCAGAAAGATCTTTCCAGAGCAGGTGACTTGTTCTCTTTAGATGATTTTGAAATTGAAGGTAGCCTGTCTGAAGCTCTGGAACAGATCAGGATTATTTCATCCTCCTCGGTAAGTAAAAAATATATAATAAACACCCCTACATGTTTTGACACCCATCATGTTCTTCTACATTCCTTAATTTTTGTCAATGTAGGGTGTGGAAAGATGAAACCAACACTCTTACTATGTTTAAAACATTTACTAAGACAGTATGTTTGCTGTAACATAGAAACATGGGTCAGCAGCTACAATGAGAGCAACTGGGCTCAAGCTGTTCCTTTATGCCAGTCTGGACTAGCCATAAGGTTCCATTATGTGCAGCAATGAATGTCTATAAATATGGAGATACTCAGAACACCAGGGTGTCTATACACTCACAGTCCAAAATATATTTTTGGGTTTCAGCGTGTAGGCTGTAGAGATAAATTTACTATGCATACAATCATAAATGAATTGGCATAGCACAGGTTTAATAGCATTCACGGAAGTGCATGTCAACATTCATGCGATTATCAAGACACAAAATAACCTGCCATATCTTTTTATATACTAAAAGCAGCCACTAATTCAAAATACAAATACAGGCACATGTAACTCTGTATGTGTTTCTGGTTTTGCCCCATGCACTTTCCCTCACTGTTACAAAGTACCACACTTACCCCCATGTCTTACACCATCATACCCTCTGCATATCAGTCCTCTCCAGCAATTACTACCCAGCGTCATACCATCCATACTTATCTCCTGCATATGCTACATGCCTTCCTATCTTCCACACTGCTCTCCAGATAATACTAACTGCCATATTATCCACTGCACTACTCGTCTGCATATACTGCCTGCCATCATACCCTCCAGACTCCTCTCACATACACACTTACTGTCAGTCATCATACCCTTTTCACTTGCACATACTGCCCCCCTCTTATATCCATTGGCTTTGCTGTCCTGGACAACCTGCCCTCTGTCATACCCTCTAAACTCTTCTCTTCAAAAAATACCCATGATCATGCCCTCTGCACTTTTCTCCTGCAGATACTGCCCACCTTCATGCCCTCTGCATTTCTCTCCTGCACATTCAGGTCCATGTCATACATGGAGTCATTTTCCTACACATACTGTCAGCTTTTATACCCTTTGCATTTCTTTCTTACCTACACTGCTCCATAATTGTACCATCTGCAGTCCTCTCTTGCATATATTGCCTGCTGACATTCCCTCCAGCACTCCTCTCCTGCAGTTACTGTCCCCATATCAAACCTTCCAAACTCCTCTTCTGCATACAGTACTGCCTGCTGTCATTCTGTCTGGGGAAAGAGAGGTTGAATGGGTCTGACTGGCTCTTAATAGCTGTAATACTGTCCAAACACTTGCTTACAAGCCTTTAGCGGTAATAGAATATTATCTATAAGTTGGTTTACGGCAGAATGAGTAGGCTTGCTGACTTTAGCATGGTGGCAACGTTTCTTGACTTCTCTTGTTTATTTCACTGAATGGCTGATTATTTTGCTTGAGGTTGCTCTTTTAGTAGCTTGTATATGTTATAGGTAGGTTTCCCTGATTCTTATTAACTTTCCCTTAACAGATACAAGAATAATCTAGTGTATGTTTTGTGAAGGTGGAGAACACTTTCATGTCAAATAAACTGTGGATGTTTTGTAGATAGTTAGCAATTTATGTTTACTTTGAAGGTGTGCACTTATTTGTGCTTGGAGGCAACACTCGCTTCCCACACCCAAACCTTGACATTTGGTCAAGATGTAAATGTTCTCCATAGTTTGCAATATATAAATGTTACTTTAAAAAGAAGTAGAACTTAAAGTGCATTTCCACTTTTGCAGCCAAATTGGAATAACACCTATTTTATATTTGTTATATATTTCCATTCACACAGAATTATCTAAAATATATTTTAAAAATTGCTGCTCACATTTTTAAGTGCTTTTTATTTGCTTAAAAATTCTACCTAGTTCCCCCTCTATGTTATGTTAAGGAGGGGGCTGTGAGAAGTTATGTTTACTTTAAAATATAACCATTTTCTTGCCATAATTCTTTTAAGGACCACAGGAGGACATATACCAATGTCCTCCTGTGACCCAAAACTCCGCATATAGCGGGCTGACAGCCGGGATGGATCCCAACAATATTGTAAGGATCGACCCTGCCACCTGATTGACAGCTGGCTATGCCTCTCTAGTGGAAAAGCCAGCTGTGTCCGCCTCCTGCCCCGTCCATCCCTCCAGTCAGCGCTGGAGGAACCGAGGGGGTTCCTCCAGCGCTCTATCGGCTCTAATTATGGGGAAGAGTGTATTTTACTTTCCCCATAATTCTCCTTTAATTAATCCTGTCTGTACTGCACTGGTGAATTTTAGTATCAGTTGTAAATTAGATTTGAACACTCTCTGTCCAAACAAAGGGTTTAAGACTAAGCTCCATTCACACTACAGCGTAGCTGGAACGTAATGTGCGCTCCCAAGTGTTTGTTTCCCGCATTTAGTGCGCATCCTTAGTGATCTCGATGTGTTTCTGGATGCACCAAACGTGGGAAAGCAGTGCATGTAGCTAATTCTGCAACACGTGTTCCGCGTTTTTTTCCCTCACGTTCGTACGCATTCTCATGCAACTTTTGGGTGCCATTAACTATTAATGGCACTGCAAACACATTCCAACTTTTCTGCGCAGTTTCATGAACTCATGTGAAAGTGCACACTTTTGTGCGCTTTTGATGCGTGTTCCTGACACACTATGGTATGAATGGGGACTTAGAGGCATTGTATGTTAATGAGAGGAAGCTCAGTCTATCCCTCAGTTTAACCCTCTTCTTTCATTTTCAAACTGCTCAGATTAGCCTGGAATCTGTGTCAAGGAGGTAAGAAATATTAAAAAATATATATATATTTTTGGGTATGCTGTGTGAATAGGAACACATAACAAACATATAGTGAGGGTTTCTGAAAATTGACTGCAAAAGTGGAAATACACACGCACAATAATAAGGGGTGGGGCGAGGAAGAAGGGCATTAGAACTGCAAACCTACTAGCCCCAGCCCTGGTCTATAGATCTACTTGTAGCACTCCTGCTCTTATGGTGATGCTGAATGACATTCCATCTCAGGCAAAAGCAATCAACACACTGAGATTAGGAGAAACAGCAGATCCCAGAAAAATATAATCAGAGCTCAGGCTGATCACAGCATAGTTGCAAAAACACTAAACACATGTCTGTATAGGGCAGGATAAGAATCCCAGTTGAGGAGAAATTGACAAAATAATTGGACATGAGGTAAGTAGACTTCATAATAATTTTGCAGTGCCAGGAGTCTTGATTTGCTTCTAGTTAAACAAAATATTATATACAGTATCTGTATACTTATTAAATTGGCCATGAAGTAGTTATACAATGAAACCACTAGAGGGCAACATTGCAGCATGATTTGAGTAGTATATGCAGTAGGCCATTCATTTACATAGCTCACAACTGTTCCTCATTTGGAAACAAATTCCTCTGTTACTCAGTTCTCCTAAAATATCCCTCTTTTGTCTATAGTGTTTTTTATCTGTATAAATGAATGTTGTCATTATACTTAAGCCAAAATATCTTTACATACAGTAGGAGAATTACAATTTCTGTTAGGCTTTTGGTCTGTGACTTGATTGTGGAGATTTGCCTTCACATGGGCAGCAACAAATATTGTAAACATTTTTAACCCTTCAGAGCATTGCTAAAACGTGTTTTTATGTATGTCCTGGCAGTACGTAAGGAAAATTGTTTTAAATAGGGACACAGAAGGCTGTAAAAACAGGTAGCTCTCCATCTCTCTAGAGATGCTTACCAACGCTGTAGGCTACCACATTCAGGGCCAGATTTCCCACAGGGCCAACCGAGACCCGGCGGCAGGGAGCAGAGGGGCGGCAGGAATTCCTATCGCCCAACGCATGGGACACCTGGCCTTCGGGAAGCAGAGAGAGTAAATCCAGCCATGACCACATTGGTTGTTTTTAAAGATTAATATAAACAACAAGTATCGACAATCATCCTTGATCTACCGGCTGAGGCTTCAGTGGCTTCTTCTCTGCATATGGAGTACAGGGAGTAGCTCATCAGGTGGTGCTGCCATTTAGAGAACACCTTGCATTTTTTTTCAATGTAACAAGGCGTTCTCTGTTACAATGGGGAGTAAATGATGTCACAATCTCCACCTCGTCAAATCAGAGAATGCCTTGTATTCATAGGAAAAATACAAGGCATTCTCTGAATAGCAGTGGTGCTGATCGTGTTCAGTGTGCAGAGGGGAAGCCGCTTAAGCAGTACTCAGGGAATTGCAGCTATCACTGTATGTAGTACCGACTACTACAGGGATTTTCATAATCCCCAGCATCCCAAGGGGTATCGGATATGGATACTTACATTGAGCCAAGCTGGGCCAATGTTCTTATGTTTTGCTTTAATTTGCCATGGCCCACATAATCAGGAGATGTGGCAAGGGTGTGTCCTTCATCTCAATATTTTGTGCCAAAAGGTGTGTCTCTTTTCCTTCTCAGAATGTACACATTTTCACACTACCAGCAAGCATTTATTACGCAGCTATAAGTGCTCAAATACTTCAGTGCCAACCAGTGGCGGAGCTAAGGAACAAAGGGCCCTAGTGCAAGATTTTTTTGGGGGGCCCCCCTCCCCCCCCAAAAAAACCCACAAACACAGCGCTCTCCTTCCGCAGCGCTTGGCCGGCTGTCACTTTCTCTCCTCCCCGCTGGGAGACGGAGCAGCGTCCCACGGGGAAAAAAGAAAGCACGGATGCACCGTTGTATCAGCAGAAAAATGGCACTTTCGGCATTATGCCAAAAGTGCAATTTTCGGCCAATACGTTTTGGTGGCCAATATATGGCGCAGCCCTAATATTTACAGCAATACAGAATGGCACAGGCTATAGAGGACTACACATCCCAGCAATACTTTATATAACAATAGCATTTCTGTATAAAGTACTGCTGAGATTTGTAGTCCTCAGCAGGCGATTGGTTGTAAGTCATACAGCAATCGCCTGCTGTTAAAAGAGGTACCAAGAGCAGCCGTGTTCTTGTTTTAACCACTTCTGTGGGCCACCGTCTATAGACGTACTGCGGCCTGGAAGTGGTTAAAGTGACATTAAAGTAAAAATGTTTTATCTATCCACCCAATGTTAATGTCAGCACTAACCTTAACTGATGTCTCCTTATCCGATCTTCTTTCCTGATGTTTTCATCTGTCCCTCCAGCGGTGCGGCGGGTGTCCGATCCAGCGCTGACTCCTCTGTCATTGCTGGCACTTCCTGTCCCACACAACCCTGTCTGTGGTGTTTATTTGTCAAATATTTAAATACATTCCTACCTAATCTTACACAGGTTTGGACATTTTTACTGTGTTGTGCATTGGGTTGCCATTCACAATGAATGGCACTGCAGCGCACCATCGCAAACAACATGCTTTGCTGTGCACACGCATTAACATTCTCATTATTACAATGCAATGGTGTGAATGGACGCTAGGTTAGATTTAGGACAGGCTGATAAAAAAGCTTGCAAAATTTGTGAGTATTTGGAGATATTTAAAAATCACATCTGCTGTAAGCAGCTAGTCACTAAGATCTGTTATATGTACATTCGCAAAAGCAGTTAAGAGAAGGTCTAGTGAAAACAAAAAGTTTCAATCCTGTTTAATCATATACTTTATAGTATATTTAGCTTGTGTCTATAAAGAAACTGTCCTATACAAGTTATAAATGCATTTAAATGACAAACAAAATGTTGTTTTTAAAACAGGATTACCAAACTAATGACAATGATCAAGCAGTTGTAGAAATCTGCATCACTCGTATTACAACAGCAATTAGGGAAACGGAGACCATTGAGAAACACGGCCAAGCTCTTGTGTCACTTTGGGAATCATGTCTGGAGCACAACCTGAAGCCACCAGCAAAAGATGAAGATACTCCACATGCCAAGATTGCATCCGATATCATGAGCTGCATTCTACAAGTAAGCATATGGTTTTATAATTACATATACAGTAAATAATTTATATGCCACATGTTGTTATATTGAATTTTACCACATGAGGGCTCCCTTTCCTTTCCAAGCCAAGCAAGTTCACAACACTTTTGTTGCAGTTTCTTATTTTTTTAGAAGTGAATGGTCTTTTCTATAATAGCAGGCACTACATCTTGCTCATAATGTTCATTTGTTATTAGTAATACTTAAAGCAGAAGACAAAAAAACCCTTGCAGTGGGACCCCCACCCCCTCACTGCAATTGCATAGGTGTAATTGAGGTTGATAGGTAATAGAACATACAAGTCCCATCAAAATACATAGATGTAGGGGCCTAAGTGTACAACACCCAATATGCTATAGCCCAACTCTGGGCACAAGACAAAAAGGGCTTTAACATATTGGGCTTCTACACTTAAGGCCGTGACACACTGCACGCGAAGCCGTGCAGAGCGAAGCAAAGCTCCCCGGCACGGAGCTTCGCGTGCAGTGTGTGAGCTGAGTGCAGTCATATGATTGACTGTACCTTCAGCCAATCGGCTCGTCTGTAACAACCGGCCAGACTTCGCATCCCGTCGCGCCTGTTTATACGTGCGAGCCGATTGGCTGAAGTTGAAATTGTTCATCTCGGCAAGCTCTCGCAAGCTGAGGTGCCGAGAAGAAAGTGACATGACACACTGCTCGCAAAGGCAGCGCGCCACCGCTCCGTGCTGCTTCGCGTGCAGTGTGTCACGGCCTTTAGATCCCTTAAATCTATGTATTTTGATGGGGTTTATATGTTCTATCACCCATCAACCTCAATTACACCTATGCAATTGGTAAAAGCATCCTCTGGGGGAAATATTTTACTGTGTTTAAATCACACTGGGGGGGGGGTAAAAACTGGAACACAGTGGTAGAGCATAGCAACTAATCAGTTTTTCTCTTCAGTTTGTTCACATAAGGAGAACTATGAGATGAGTGCTTTTCACTCACCTCATAGTTCTAGCCGACCTGTGACAATGAGACTGTCACAGGTCGGCTCAGTAGATCGGGAGGTGAGCGAACACATACCGGGTTCGCTCGCCTCTCGATCCTGTCACGGCTCTCTGCTGTGACAGGGGGAGGGGCTGGATTCCCCTCTCCCCGCTCCGATCTGCCAGCGCTGACTGGCGGAACGGACGGGGGAGGAGGCGGGTACAGCTGGCTCTGCCTCTAGATAGGCAAAGCCAGCTGTCACTCACGCAGCTGGGCGGATCCCGTCATCTAAGTCGGCATCCGCTCCGGCTGTGGCGTCTCAGTATACCGCGATACTGAGCTTAGGGCAACGGGAGGACGCTAGTTTGTGTCCTCCCGTTACCCTAAGGAGAACTATGGGGAAAAACACTGACCCCATAGTTCTCCTTTTAAGCATTGAAAATGAAAGATACGATCTGATTGGTTGACATGGCCAACTGCTTCAGCTTTTGTCTGCTCCAGTTTTTAAAATTCTCCCCATTTCAAAGGAGGTGGTGGACCACAGTTTCTCAGTAAAGAAATAAACATATACAAAGTAAAATACCTCAAAAAAGGGACACCAGTGTTTCTAAGTAATATCTGTAGTCTAAACATTTCTGCAGTTTTTCTTTCAGTCCAAATTCCAAATGTTATTCAAGGTCAGTTTCATTCAAAGGATATGAAAATGTGATAACTGTATAGACGATATTATGCTCAATTCACCAAGCTTTAACACAAGGATAAGGATCCCTAATTTTAGTCAACTGACTGACATTTTTAAATCCCATTGTACTCAGCTGAACGTAACTGTCACTTTTGTTTTTAAATAAGTGCCCTTATCTGGGTGTGTTAGATTTGTGAATTGAGCCCATTGACAGGTATCTTTTTGAAAAACGATTAACATGTCTAGGCAAATTTGTAATTCAAATGACAACATTTTACATTTATTTGCTCATAATGTACAGAGTGATCAGTGCCAATGAGTACCATGATGACTATGGCAGGCAACTGTGACGTTTGTTTATTATTGATCTATACAGTATAAATCACTCAGCCTCATAGTTCTAGCCGACCTGTGACAATGAAACTGTCACAGGTCGGCTCAATAGATCGGGAAATGAGCGAACACATACCGTCGCTCGCTCACTTCTCGATCCTGTCCCTGCAGAGAGCCGTGACTGTCACTCACGGCTCCCTGCAGGGATTCCCACCCCCCTGTACGATCCTCCAGCGCTGACTGGCGGAACAGACGGGGGAGGGGGCGGGTACAGCTGGCTCTGCCTCTAGATAGCCAGAGCCAACTGTCACTCACGCAGCTGGGTGGGTCCGGACAGTAATGTCGGGATCCATCCCAGCTGCGGTGTCTCAGTATACCGCGAGCTGTAGCTCGCATTATACTGAGCTTTGGGTGACGGGAGGACGCTAGTTTGTGTCCTCCTGTTACCCTTAGGAGAACTATGGGGAAAAGCCCTGACCCCATAGTTCTCCTTTAAGCATTGAATTGGTTGACTGACTTAGGGCTAGTTCACACCAGCCTCAGTGCGTTCCGGCCCAATTGTGACTGGAACGCACTGGATAGCATTCTGGCCGACTTGCTTTGTTTTGGGGCGGGAGAGGGCGTGGCGGTGCATTGAACTCAATGACATCGCAGCCGCGCCATCTGGCCACAACGCGGACGACCACACAGGAAGGCGTGGTACATCAGTGTCTGCATTCCAGTGCAGTCAGAAAAAATAGTGCACTGCACAATTCGGGCCAGAACGCACTAAGGCTGGTGTGAACTAGCCCTTTATAGTGCTTACTAGGGATCCACCGATACCAGTTCAGATACCAGTGCCGATACTTAGCATTTTACTGAGAACTACTAGAGTTGCAGCTGGGACCTAGGTCTGGCGCTTCACCACTGCCCTGAAATCATTAGTCGACATTGTTTTAGAAAAACTGTCTCATGACGATAAACAAAAATGTATCAGTACTTGCAAAAATGTTATCGGTGCATCTCTTTATTTATAAAAACAAAATCATACATTAAAACAGAGATACAAATCCCAGGAGCTCCGTGTGCTCCTTACAAATGACAGCTGCCTTCTAACTTTTGAATTTTTCTCTACTTTAGTATTGGAGCTGGAAAAGTATCTGTACTTGGTATCGGTGCATCCCTAGTGCTTATAGCAATAAAATGTGGTCGTCATATTCTAATCAATCCGCCAAATATAGATATCGTGGAGCGAAAAGTTAAATTGCCCTCCCCACAAGGCATACATATTCAAATCATTTTTCATATGAATATCTTGTGGGGAGGGCAATTTGAGTTATCTTGAGTGGTACTATTAAAGATTTTTGTATCATTTTTATAAAATAGAGTACAATCTCCTTTTTTCCTATAGCTTATTCTTGCTCTTTTTGGGGTGTGACTTACATAGTACAAACATCTTTGTTCTGCGATACACAGGGAAGACATTATAACCTAAAAATAATAAAAGTTATGGCCGTTCCAAGCTTTTCTTCTGGGATTTCTTTTTGATGTGCCTTTTCATGCAGTACAACACATGTATTTAACTGCAGAAAAACAAACAAGGATGCTTGGGCCCTTGTAATAAGAAAAGACAGCTTATAGTGTTCACAGTTTGTAGGATTGACAATGACAAGTATACATAGAAAAACCTTTAAGTATGTTTGATCATCGTGCACAAGGGTTCTATTTCCATCATAAAGAAACAGATGAAATAATAATTACAAGCCAATAATTAAGCCAAAATCCTTATATGAAGGCTGTGTAACCACAATATAATGAATTGACTGGCACACCCAGGCTGGTGTATTTTTCTAATTGTAGACTGAGCATCTCTTTATTTATTACATATAATGGGAAATAGCTGTCAAGGTATGTAAATGTTATCAAGATGGCTAACAATTGATGTTTTGAAATTTCAAGAACTGCGTTTACGTATGGTACTTAACATATTTTGCAATTTATATTGACAGAATTATAACAAGCCTACAATCATGTCCCTGGCAGTACCGCTTGCAGTAAGATTTCTTCAGCAGGGAAACAAAGAGCTGTGCAGAAACATGTCAAATTACATTTGTCTGGTAGCCATTGCAAAAGCAGATCTGCTGGTAGATCACGTAGAGGCAATTCTAAGGAGCATCCTGCAAGGTACTAAAGGTCATTGCATAAGGGTTTGTTTTGACTGCAGTGAATATACAAAGTTTTATTAAAAAGCATTATTATGCTACAATAATTAATTGTCAATCAAGGTATTATAATTACATGCATTTCATGTGCTGCATATTTATTTTATGTAAATTACAGACTAGGTTTAATCTGTGTTTGATGTACAAACAGGGCAACGCGTTTAAATGCAGCATATATGTTCTGCTTCATAGACTGATTTTCATAATTGCAGGAATAGGAAAACTGTCTTAGCTAACACTTTCGCTGCCAGAGCCTTTTTTGCATAAAATGCATATCTTAGGCCTGGTGATGACTTAAAACCCCCAAAATGATATATTTTATGAAATCAGAGACCCTGTAAAATAAAATGCTGGTAGGTGCAATTTTTATGGGTTCCCTTTTAAGATGTCAAATTATAAACCTATGGTTAGCAGGCTCGCTGTGCATCTTTGAGGTCATGTGTTTAGTTCCCTGTAAGGACACTATCTGGGAGGAATGTTCAGTGATCCCCAAAGAAAGATGTGAAATTCAGGATGGTTTTGTGGTTAGAAGACATAAGAGCCAACAGTGTTGGTATACTTTCAGTACTGGTGCTGTAACAGTGTCATGGATCCTGCAGGATTTAGGACAATTGGTAACTATACCAAGGTAACTATGTATCTGTGCTCTGAAGGGGAATAAAAAGCAAAATAAAGTCAAGTATGTTTCTTTGCTAGTGTAACGCATGTAGCAGGGTACTTAGTCTTTACCTGGTATGAACCACAGCTGCGGATAGGCACTACTTCCTGTGCGTCTCTTAGCTTCATTGAACTATATGCAGTCAGCTAATTAGGAAGATCTCAGAAGTACACTATGTAAACACATGTGGGTATGTAATTAGATTATGCAAGTCCTGGGTAAGTATAAACAATCTGTATTACTTTATACAGGGTTGTGGAATTATCAAGCAACAGTTCTTTTAGTTTATAGCAAATGGTATTGAATAATACCCCTTACATGAGAGGGTTAGCACCCAGACTCAGCGAGTAAAAGTCTGTATTGCTTCATACAGGAGAGATAGTTATTGGTTTATAGCATACAGTATAACCCTGGAAACAGGGCGATTAGTAACCCCTCACCAGAGATGTAACAGCATATAGTGGATTAATAGCAATAAGCAACTTAATAGCTGAAGGAGTACTTGCGGTTAGCTGCTCTGGAGAGGGTGGACATGTTCCATAGATGGGAGAGGAGGAATCAGCTGAAGTGGGTCCAGGAAGATGAGGATTGCTGGGTTGTGTTGCAATCTGAGAAGAAGAGTAATGGTGGTTCCCTGTGCTGGCAGGTTCAGTAAGCTGAGTATCAAACTCTGATCATGCAGTCCTGGTGGCTGAGGGGTTACTGTGCACTTGCAGTCAGAGAATGAGAAGGTGTGCTCAGATGAACTGCAGACTGGATGGAACAGGTGAAGAGAGGTAGGCTGTGTGCAGGAAAATGCGCGTCCATTACATTGCCTAGACACCGAGCATTTCAAAAGCTGCGGCTTTATTCAGACAGCTGGGTTAAGGGAGGAGGAGCAGCGTGACACCGCAGGAGTAGGCAGGATTGGAGCCTGGTACCAGACCGTGGCCAGGTAAGTTACAGCTAGTTGCAATAAAAAATGTATGTTGTTTGGCAGTAATCATATGGCAGGGAAAAAGAGGAATCATCAGTAAGGATAATCGAATGAGTACTGGTTTGGTTCACGGGAGCATCTCAAATCCAGTGTGAAGCCCACAAACCCTAAACTTAGCACTGAACCCCATAGAAGTCAATGGAACAATGGAAGCTAATAGACAAGGTATTGTTGAAAAAGGGCAATGGAAGGTGGGCACTGCCATTGGGGACATGTACCAATGCAATTTGTAAGAAATACCATCTAGCGGGTAGAGAGTCCTTTCATGTGGCTTAAGGGCAACATTTAAAATACATAAATCTGTTAAATAACATGCTTGGGAATGTCTTAAAGCTGCACGTGGCCTTATTATGGAACAATAAAATGTATTACTTTAAAAATGATGTTTAAAAATGTCACAGTGAGCGTGCTTCTTGTACCAGCCCAGGCTACGTGCCTTCTTGTACCAGCCCAGGCTACGTCTTGCCTTTCAAAATTAGCATGGTACCTGGAAAGGGGGTGGCAAAGCAGCTGATGGCAGATTATACACCAGTGGAAAATAGGCCAGCAGATGGCCATTTTTGAATTACAATTTAAGGTCAAAGGTTACGATAGACATAGAGCACAGATAGGGTCTTTAATGGCACAAAGAAGAGACCACTGAGGATACAGTGGTGGAAAATAGGCCAGCAGCAGGACAATTTTTAAATATGAATCTTAGGCCCGAAGTTACTAGAGACAAAGATAAGTACAGATAGGAGTTTTAATACAAAAATGAAGAGACACTATGATTCTATAGCTCATCCATGCCCCCACCTCCTTTTTTTAGTGAAGGGACTGGCACATAACAAAGTCCCAATTATTGGCCATTAAAAGCCACCTGGCCGAGGTCCTCACAGTGCATCATCATTGAAATAGAAAAATGTCTCTATTAATTCGCTGGGACCGTGAACTGAACAAGATATATCCATAATGATAGCAGCTTGGAAGTGGTAAAAAGTACCACAGTGATCCCGTAACATCATGTTAGTTAAAAAATGAGTTCAAAACTAAATAAATACATTATAAATAATAATAATAAATGAATATACATATATAAATAAAAATAAAATTAATATTAAAACCTGAAATTGGATAAATATTAAGGATTTAATGTTAATTTTGTGAATGTCATGGTTTCTTGTACCCCGGAGTTCCCCTAAAAAAGAAAATAGCAATAAAAACATTTTTCCCATTGGTTTGTTTGGATATTAATTCCATTCTGTTGTTGACTATAGTAGACCACAGAATGTTTTCTGCGGTGCTGTTTCTGGCAACATGACATCTGTAGTCCAAGATGTGGACAATTTTTGTATACTAACTTATGTGAAAGATGTTCTCAAAAGTGACTTTAGGAGAAATCTTGTGAGAGCCTGTATCCTACGTGGATTATTGTCTCCATGATCTTGAGATGTATACTGGGACTTTGTGAATTATGTATACACCTTTTTTGAGAAGATTCACCTATTCTATGTATATTTTTATATATTTATATTTTGTATCTTTCAAGTTACACTGATTTTTCTAATGACACAGCTGTCAGAATAGTTAGGGATGTGGCAAAATATATTTACGCTGTTAGTTTTATGTCTTTTTGAAAATGTGTCTCTACAAAAGTTCTATGGCTTGCATTAAAAAGTCAGAGATTTCTGGATTAGCTCAACTATATAAGGCCTCATGCACACCAGCTGGCTGCATTGAAGCACAAGAGAAGTTAAATATAAACAACCGGGCAAACAGACCCAGGACACAGAAATTTCTAGTTCTGGTAAACTGAGCTAGACTGAATGCACCTAGATGCTGCAGGACGTCTCTGTGTGCATTCAGTCGTAGAAAAGCATTACATGTCCAAGTATGTTTAAAGATAAGCTCAAAACGCACCTGAACTCATGTTTTTTCAATGTAGTGTGCATGATGCCTTAAACCAGTTATGTGTTAAAGTGGGAGTAAAATTAAAAAAATAAAACATTGCTGGGAGGTAGGGATTTTTGGTAGAAGGGTCATGCAAAGTCTCTGCTGTAAAATACTTCTTCCTATTTCCCCTAGCATTTTTTGTGTGTGTACACGGTATGGCCCATGTGCTATGCAGTGTACACACTTGGGTCATCTCTGAGGCATCTCTGAGGTGCCATGAATGGCCTCATGCCAGGGAGGATTTAACTTCTGTGCGCATGCACAAGAGTTAGATCATCAGTGACCACCCAATGGCCGAAGAGGATGTCTAGGAACCCAGAAGTGGCAGGACAGAGCAAGGGACTGAAGATGCATTGCACATCATTGGAGAAGGGCACACTTGTAAGGTAAATGTGCCATAATGTGCAAGTACACTGTGCATACTTGTGCATTATGGCAAGAAGACACTCAACTCACAGCGATAACTGCTACTTTAAAGCTCAACTCCAGACAATTTTTTGTTTCGTGTTTAATAGAGTGGGGCAAGCTTCGAACCTCTGCCAAGATTATACTATTTTATCTCTTTTGGGGGGATTTTCCCTACCTTTCCTGTCCAGATGACAGTGTGAGCCAGAATGGGAAGTGAGGGGATATGTCCTTGACTGGGGCACAGACAGTTTTTAAAAGCTAGCAGCTGACGTTCTAACTCTTCCCCACTTTATCCAAAACTGAGAAACGCTTTGGCTTGAATTAGGCTTCAGGTGCATTTGTAAATCATTGTAGCACAGCTAAATGTAGGATGGTGTTTTTAATGGCAAATAAAAATAACAATGAATGTAAAACCTTTTAATTTTTGTCTTACGTTCCCAAATCCATTTATTGCCCAACTCCAGCTTAAAGGAGAACTATGGGGCACACTGTTAATGGCATATTTAGAATCATAATAATACAGGAGTACATTTTGCAATGTACTCCTCCTAATCAAATTTCCACCGTAAGCTCAGTATTCGCTGTAACATAGTGTTTGGGTGGGGCAATCCCCGTGCTGTGAAGTGATCCCGACAATATTATCAGGATTCTTCCCTATCATTGACTGACAACTGCTTGTAAGAGTGTGGAGGAGAGGTGGGGACAGAGGACAGAAGGGATCATGGAGGTGTGGACAAAGGTGGGGACAGAGCTGCAAGGATGGAGCTGTGGGAAAGGAGCTGCTGCACGTTCATGGATACCTGTACATGCGCATCGGCTCCATTCCCGCAGTTCCCTCCTCCGTCCTCCATTCCCGCCTCCCATCCACACTGCTGTCTCTTGCTTCGTAGCAATTACTGATTCAGTGCGGGGAGCGTAACTTGCCCTGCAGCGTCTCCAATCTTACTGTGCCACCGTCACAATTTCCCACTAATTGTGGTGTCACATT